AGGAGAGGAGAGAGTTTGGTGAGGAGTGTATGTTCAGATTGGAGGCTTGGGGTTTGAGGTGTCTGGGGAACACGGGAGCATCTGTTGGAAATGTTTGGGAGGCAACGGCTAAACTGAAGGGCATCGTGTGTGACTTCCAAGCTCAATGGGGCAGAAGGGGTTTCTCAGGGCACTCGGAGCCAAGGGTGCTGAGAAGGCATTTGCTGGCTGGGCAGCTTTTCCAGCCTAGTGCGAGACTGGCACTAAATGACCCAGCTCATGCTTGTCAAGCCAGATCTCTCCATATGCACAGATGAGCAGGCAGCCATATTCCAAGAGCTGTTCCTGGGGGTGTATCCAAACCCCTCTGTCCCAGATCTCTGGAAGACATGACAGTGCTTAGTTTGGGCTTCGGTTTAACTGGCTTTTCAAACTTTATGTTAAAGAGATTTAGAAACCTTGGCTCAGTTGGGAGAATGTACTTTTTGGAAGCTACCAGGTTGGAAGGCAGGCAGTTAATTCGTTTGCAGGATCAATCATCTGGAGGGAACACATGAAGAAGGCCCTGTGGGTTTACCCTGATGTTCTCAGGGGAGCCCTGTCCTCCCACTTCCTGAGAAGTCCTGGCCCCCGGCCAGGCACACAGCACTGCCAGCATGTAAGCAGGACCAGAGCCCAGTCATGGGCTCCCAAGGTCAGTCGGGTGCCCCTGGCCAGGGTGGGGGGCTGAGAGGCAGAGGTGCTCCTAGTTGCGCAGTGTCAATTAGCTACTAGTTCAAGCGCACGTCTTCCACGCCTATTTCCTCGTTTGTACAATGGGTATTGTGCTTTCTTCCTTACCAGCTGGTAACTCAGCGAAATGAGCACAGATGTGAAAGCACCTAGTGGCCTGTCCACCTTATTAGACGCGGGGAGCAAAGCAGTTTCCATGGAAGTGCTACCTCTGCTGATTTCCCTCCCTGAAGAAGGGGTCAAGGCAAGATGTTCTGGCTGAGGGGTGAGTGGGGGACACTGCTTCTTCACCCCTCCACACCCACAGAGAGGAGGGAATGTCCACTCCCCTTCCCAGGAGAGAAAAACACGGGGGGTGGGGATCCTTAGCCTCTCTCTGCACCCCCTTGCTCACTCCTGCTAGACAGAAGAGTGCTTCCCTCGGGGTTTGGGAGAAGAATTGAGCACGCTCCGGGTTCCGTGCGCCCTCGCTGCGCCCTCCCGCGGAGCAGCCAGTCCACAGGCCCTGCTGGGTGCTGCCTGCAATAGCCCCTTCTCCTGTGCGGGGTAGCTCCGTCTTTTTAATTCTGAAGTGAAGTTTTAGCAAGCCCATCTGGCCTCAGGTCTAAAACAGTATTCTCCTTTCAGCCTTATCAGTAAAAAAGCTGGCATTTTTATCTCATTTGACTATCTCCTGGGCCTTATTTCTCAACTATTCCGAACTTGGGAGGGGAAAAAAAAAAAAAGAGTTATTTAAAGCCTCTCTAAACCTAAATACTTTCCAAGGTAGGAACAGGCATTCTCAAGTTATTTGAGATTTTTGAACGCTTTAAAGAAACTGTCCAGGCTAAGGATGCAGAGGCTCACTAAAAATCCACGTACTTCGCTCTTGCCTGGAACCATCCACAGGGCTCATCAGGAGCGCTGAGTGGTGATACGTGTGCCTGCTTTAGAAAACAAATGAGCTGTTCGTGAGTTCAGTTTGTTGACAAAATATTTTTTAATTACAGGGCCCAACTTGGACTGCGGAGAGTGGTCCTGGGGGTGAAGAGGTGGCCTCTCTGGGGCCGTGAGTGCCCCGAGCTCACCTCACTTCTGTTCTCATCACTCTGGGTTGGACTGTCCATTTGCTAGTCTGTCTCCCTCATTACGCCCCACAAGGACTTTTTTTTTTTAAACACATGGTAGATCTCAGTACATGGATGAACAGATCCAAAATTAAACGGAGGGATGGTCATAGCCTCAAAGGAAGAAGCTGCAGTGAGGCTGAGAGGCAGGAGAGCACCTTCTCTCCCCTGGCAGAGGGCAGCTCTGGCCAGCGCCCAGCACGGCTGCGTCTGAGGGCTCCACACAGGCCTCCGCCGGCTCCCTGCCACCCCACCCAGTGTCCACGCGAAGGTCCCCTGGCTGGCTACATGGAGTACTCCTGGAATGTAATAACCACCTCAACAGTCTCTGTCCCCGCTGGAAAGCTAAGTGTTCTTAAAGAATGGGATCCACAGAAATGCAGACCCAGGGCAAAATCTTTCTGAGGTTAGCGTCACTGTCTGGCTAGTTCAAATGATTTTGCAGGGACTCACTGGCTTTAACAGACATCAAACAGCTGAAATCCCTGCTTGGTGAGGGAGCTGGAATGGGCTCTGTAGTTGGACTGTCCTAGGTTTTTGTGCTGGCACTGTGGCCCTGGCCAGGCCCCTTCAGGTCCCTGGGCTCTAGCTCTGGGTCTCTAAAATGTGGCTAATGGTCCCTTCCTCAAAACGCTAGGGCAGAGATGACATGCTTCCCCAAAACAGAATGCATACTGTTGGGGCCACATGAGTGGCCCCACCATGAGTGGTGCAGGCGATATATGGATTGACACTTAGGAAGATTTTTTTGATATGCCTTAGGAAAAAAACTGGACTAGGATGTCAGACCTGTGATTCTGTCAACGTCATTACTTAAGATGAGGCTAAAGCTGGTACGGATGTCAGGTCTGAGTCTATTTAAAGAAAAACAGCAAGGAAAAGAATAGCACAGATGGTAGGAGGGTGTGGCAAAAATTTTTTGAAATGGAACTCAAAAGACTGTTCTTTGAGGAGAATAGAAAGTCCCTAAAACTCATCCTTGCCAGTAGTAGGTGCTCTAGAAACACTGCTGGTTCTGGTCACGGGCCCATCAGACAGGGCAGGCGCCAGGGAAAAGCACCAAAGGACAACCTAGCACGGGGGCGAAGCCGGAAAGAGTTAAAAGAAAGGGGTCTGAGGTTTCCCTGGCCCATCCCCCCTGCAGCTAATCTGTCACCTAATGAAGAAGCGGCCCGGCACAAGTGAGCTAGCTGGCAGTTCACTTACAGCAAACTGATTAAGAATGTTCAACCAACAGCAGACTGTAGACCTTTCCAGAGAAAATAAATAGAGTGTAGACTGTATGCAAATGTGTTTGTCACTTTGACAGCACGTCTCAATTAAGGCATCTCGCGGCTGTGGGTAGGCTCTGCGGTTGCAGCTGTAAGGGAGAGCCCGCTGCATGGCTGATACTTGGGGCTTGACCTTAATCCGCATGCATGCATTAAAAAAAAAAAACCTGCCTTCCTGTACACTTGCATAATGCTGGCAGCCACGTGAGGGAAGTGACAAACGGGGAGAAAAAGCCACTTTCATCCTCTCCAGTTTACAGACCTGTGAAGGCACAGACAGCTCTTATTTCAACAGAGTTTGGGGTGGCTTTTTTAATTGTTTATCCCCCACCCGCACACACACACACTCTTACTCTGCATTTAGCTGGGAATGACATTAAAGCATCTCTACTTCTTGCTGAAATGGAAAGAAGGTTTTTCTCCATTTCAAATAGGGCCTCCTTTTTTGTGTTTCGAAAATGGAATGTTTAACACCATGAAATCCCTCTCCCCCGCCCCCCCTTTCTCTGTAATGGGCTTCAAACTCCAGCGAGGGGCTCTTTTCATGGGAAGGTTAGTGTGTGCAGGAATGAGGACAAAGGAAAGCAGGAAGCTGGCTCTGGAATGCCATGCTGGTTACAACGGAGGCTGTGCTTTCAGCAAACTCCGTCAGGAAACTGGGGTGCAGATTTCTCCAACAGGGCCTGAGCCCCAGAGGAGGCAGCTCTTCAGGGGTGGAAACACACCACCAGCGGAAGAGAAGCATTAACCAAGTGAGCCCTGCCCCGAGAATGCTCCTTTCTCGCACTACATTTCAATTTTTATAACGTCCTTTTTTAAGTGTAAAATCCGAAAAAGGGACGAACCTCCCCAAGTTTAAGATGTAGGATTGTATGATCTGAAAATACTGATTACAGAGGAAGATTCTTACATCAACAAACTCACCCCTTACCATGATAACCCAGAGCAACCATTTCATTAATTCACTTCATTTCTAAAGAGCTCAATGCCGGTACACAGTAGGCACTTGATAAATGTCTGTTAAAAACAGGGCATTTAAAATGTATGTCTCTAGATCCTTTATGTGATGAAAAAAGCAATCGTATTTAAGATAAAATCATAAAGATGATTTTAATGATGCTCCATCTAATAAATGGCTCAAGAATCAAGTGATTTAAAAATAAGTAACCTTGCAAATTGTTACAGTCACATCTTGCTGAGAGCCATTTTTCACAAACCAAATAATTACGACTTTTGCTCAAGACAGTCAATTCAAGAGAAATAGGGGAGAGTGTACAATCTTTTTCAGCTAAAAATACAACCACTGCTTGGAAGTAGATTTAAAAATTCAGTTTCTATATGGAATACGACGTTTTACTTAAGGGGGAAAAAAATCAAACGAATAGACAATTTTTCAAATGCTCGGGTCATCAAAAACAGTTGGTGAAAGAATCAGAGCTCTGGAATAGTAGCGCGGGTGTTTACTCTGAGAAGCACGACTCCCGATATTGATTTTCAGGAAGTACATTAATAAAGAACTCCTAATTGATTTTTTTTTAAGACTTCGCTTGTTGCCTTTTATTTGAAGGTGCAAAGAAGGGCCTGGGATGCTAAGTGTTCTAATGAGATGCTTAGCTAACGGAGGCGCCGTCAACGGAGTGCCTTGGAGTGGGGGAGGCGGCAGCCGCATTTAATGACTTCATTCAAGAGCTGAGCTCGTTTATGACCTGAGCCATGCTGGCTCCTCAAAATTTTTGAAAAATTCCCCTTCAAACCACATTTATACCAAATAAACATTCAAAGATGTGCAAAGCTCCGTGGAGTGGTTTTGCCAAAGAGACCGGAAACGAAAAGCCTGTCTGCCGCAGTGCTCTAGCTTCTGCTAAAAAAAACAAAAGCAAAACAAGACCAGTCCAAGGGCCAGGGTACATACCTGTCCAAAGTGGACTGTGATTGGCCTCCGGTCTTCTCGGAGCTTCGGGTCCTTGGCCTCCACCAGTGGGGACGGCACAGTCTTTGGCAGCTGCTCTTCCATGGTGGGGGCACAGCCATTCTCGGTGATGTCCTGCGGGGAGAAGCCAGTCGGGGTTGGTGTTGGGGTCATGCTACCTGCCACGAGCAGGTGCCCCCTCCCACCCCACAGCTCGGGTCCTGCCACGGAACACTCCCTCCGGGATGTTCAGAGCCTCTCTTCCTGCTGGAGATGGAGGAAGCAGAAGGGTAACTTGGCTCTTTGACTTTTAAGGACAGGAGAAACCAAAATCATACACATTAAATTACAAAGACAACATAATTCATAATAGCGGGGTGGGGGGAATCTTTTTGTCCTACTATCTTCCACAGCTATTTCCATTTTTACATATTCACTTTGTCCACATGCATTTAAAAAATTACTTGCAATCACAGCTCATGCATAATTTTACATTCTATATTTTCCCACTATAAGCATCTCCATGGTGCTATAGTCATTTTAATGATAATTTTAATAGATGCATAATATTTCATTGAGTGGATATATAATAATTTAATAAACCACTCTACTACTATTGGGCATTTAGATTATTCCTTATTTCTTCTTTTTTTACTTCCTAAATACCATAGTGATAAACACTGCAGTTTTTCTTTCTTTTGGATTATTTCTTTTATAGAAATCCCTAGGAATGAAATTACTAGGTCAAAAGATATGAACACTTTAAGCCTTTTTATTCATTCTACCAAATTGCTCCCCAATTTACACCAACCACTGACAATGGATGAGTTATCAGTTTCATGGTACTTGTTAGCCTTATCATTTTAAAAATGTATTGCTAATTTAAGAGGTGCAAAATTAGACCTCATTGTTGTTTTAATTTGCATACTTTGTTATTTGTGAGTGTGGACACTTTCTCCACGTTTGCTTAATGATGACATTACTGTCTGTGAAAACGAGGTGTTTGTGCCCCCCCGCCCCTTTCCTAGCCTTACCTAGTCTTTCTGGCAGAGAATGAGGAAACCCAAGTCTGAGTTCAGATTTTATGACTTGGAGAACATTTAGGGAACCCAAGTAATATACTGAAATTCAGAAATTTACATTTAATTTGAGCTTTTGAATGAAGTCAAAATATAAAGAAAAAAAAACTCCAATGTGCAAAAGGCAGGTAATGCTTCCTTTGGTTCTTTGAGATGGGGATGGTGCCCACTTGTGCTATATGGACCACACGTTTTACTCAAGTTGTGAAAGTTGCTTAGACCTTCATTGGAGCAAGGCAGAGAATAAATGTACAAATGAAAAACATTTAAATAATTATTTTTTTAACCAAGTAAAAATACTCCCAGAATGAAATAATAAAGAAAAATTCCAATTCTTTTCATTGCAAAACAAGTCCTATTTTGGTCAACAAGACACACACCTTTAGTACTCATTAAATTCTGCACACAAAAGACTTGACAACGGGTTGCTTTTAACTTAGCCAAATAAAGAGAATGGTGGCAAATAGAGGAAAGTGGTCCCTTATTGGGTAATAATGCATTAAGGAAGAAACACGCGGAACATTTGTGAATCTCTGTCTCCTTGTCTATAAAATGGGGATATGGTAGCTGTGAGTAAAGAAAATAAAGCGATATAAGTGTGTCTAGAACATTATGATTCAATAATGTACTATGTACAGCACTTAGTAATAACGGAATACCTACTAATAAAGGTATAAACTTTATTATAATTGTAGGGATCTTGCTACATTCAACCCCACACACCCAGCTGCAGCCTCTAGCCCTGCTTGGTAACAACACAGGGAGGTGATGGCCTCTTGGTTTCACAGGGAGGGACTGCAGTAAGTGGCCCCCAAGTCTTAGCCTGTGTGATGAGAGGCTGCCGACAGCCAATTAGAAATGGCTCTTTTAGAAAAGGGGCTGCCCTAAGGTGCTCAGGTCAAGTGGAACAAAGAAGGGGAGGGGCTCCATCTGCGCCAGAAAGTAACAAAGGGCAAAAGGGTCACTCCGGATCCAGGTGGGGTTACTGAGAAGACAGACACAAAGGTTGAGTAAAGCCAAACAGTAAAAAAAAAAAAAAAAAAAAAAAAAAAAAAAGAAAAGAAAAAGAATCAATTTTTAGTTCACGAAAAATATTGCATGTGTGTGTGTGAGTGACAGGCTGGAAAAAAATATAAAGAAATGGAGCAGTAAGGTTACATGGTGAGAAAATATTGATAGTAATAAAAACTATAAGATGATAGCTATTTTAAAAAAATGTGTGTGGTGGTTTTGGGAAAGGTGTCTTAGTTTAAGCTTGTAAGTAAACACTGTCTTGTACCTATTTTTTTATTTTTACCATGGGGAGACCACCACCTGCTTGGTGAACTTCAAAGCTACAGGGAGAATGAATTAAAGGAGATGAAACATGAGGGAGCTTGGAAAACGTTACAGTCCTGTGCAAACTGAACTGATAGCTCGTATGCCCTGCAAAATGGAAAAAGCACCGTCTAAAAAGAGCTTCCCTTGGCTGTGCTGAGCACCTACTACTGGCAGGCACTTTTCCAGACCCTTGACCTTCACGATCACACTTAGTTTCCACAGCAACCACAAGGTAAACAGGATTATCGCTCTTTTATAGGTGAGGAAACAAGGCTCAAAGGGGGCAACTCACCCAAAGCCACACAGCTAGAAAGTGGAGGAACCAAGAGCTCTGTGATTTCTGGCATTTATACCAGTATCGACCCATGACAGCAGCGTACGTGAAGGTATTCTGAGTGAGGAGGTGCTCAGCGGACCAGCAGGTGTGATCTCCCCCTTCTGTTACATTGACCCTCTACTACCACCCCTTCTGCTCTCTTTGCACTTACTTCTTATCCCTAAAGAATGTCAATTCCTTGGGGTTTGGGTTCTCTGCCTCAGAGCCTTGAATATATAGTACACGCTCTCCGATCAGTCTTTGTAAACGGAGTTGAACATTTGGAAGGCAAATGTGTCCAATATACAAATGTGCCTGTGCATCAAAAAACAGTGCTGCACATTTTCTTCAGTTAGAAGATCCCAAAGTGCAAAAGACTTCTTACAAAGTCCCGTGGCTCGCCCTGCCAATTTATTCACTTCTTCACTATTTCCTACAGCTGGGGAAGGACAACTGCTTCCTCCCAGAGAGAGCAGAGTGGGAGGAGCCCTAGTCAAGAAAGAAATAGAGCCAACTCACATCTTCTACTGTATCTACTAGCAGAGATCTCAGACACAGTAGAGATCCTGTGATTAAAGAAACTGTGGTCTCAGAATGAGCTGAGGAGCTGCCAGCAAAGGGTTTGGGAAAATAGGCACTCTCATACCCTTCTGGAGGGAATACAAATTGGCAACTGATATCAAAACCCTAAAAGAGGTGCATGCCTTTCGGCCCATTAATTACATTCCTAGAAATTTATCCTAATGAAATAATTAAGAATTCCTGCAATGTTTTACCTATGAGAATACCTGGCCTAGAAAAAAAACCGGAGCTAAGTATCCAAGAAAGGGACTGATTAATGTATATATGCCCATCAGATAAAATTTTCTGTAGCCACTTAAAACAATGACAGGCTGAAGAAACCTTTAGTGGTCTGGGAAATACTCAGAATACAGTAAGTGAAAATGCAGGTTATAAAAACAAGATCATTTTCTTTTTGCTTGTCTGATTTGTTGAATTGTCTCCAATAAACATGTTTTTTGTTTGTAAACAGGAAAAAAAAAAGACTGCCCAAATGTCATTTTGAAAATGCAAAACCAAGAAGCTGACAGGAGGGGTAAATCTGTTCCTTCCTGAAGGGTCACATAGGAGGAAGGCACTAGACAGAGCTGCGGATCAGAGGCCACCACAGAGTGACAAATCTCTTACCAGGAGCCCTGGGGCCCAACCAGTTCCCATCTCTTGGTAAAGTAAAGGAGTCAGAAAGTAATTCAGTTCCCATCACTTTTCCTAAGAGTTTGCTGGAATTGAAAATCACGACTGGGGTCTACCCTCCACCTGTCTGTGGAGGCGGCAGGGACAGCACGCAGTACGTCACTGGACAGAGTACCTCTGAGAAGTCAGGAGGCAGAAACCCAGGGGAGGAAGGGGGCTGAGTGGCCTTGGGTAGCAGCTGGGGAGGGGGCTGGACCTGGAAGGAGCTGAGGATATGACTTCATGAGGCAGAGATGCAGGTAGAAACTTCCTGGCTGGGCGTATGTAGACAGCACCACCTGGTTAAGGAAGGGCAAGTGGCTCAGCAGCTGGGACATTCCAAGAAGCCCCCTGGCTGAGGTGGAGGACGGTTTGAAAGGTCTGGAAGGTTTTAATCAAGAGAGTGCCTCAGTCAGTGCTGCATCCTAGAAAAATTGCTGGTGGCCGTGTGGATGACCAAAAGGGAGGTGATCCCATGCCAGCCATGCTCTCAGGGTGTGTACACGTGGGCATCTGAAGATATCGGCTGCTCTGGATGTGGGATATGAGGAAATGAACAGGATGGAAATTTCCATTTCATGAGTGGCTGGTGTTGCTGCTGAAAGCCATTACCTCTTCTAATCCTTACAACAATCCAGTAAAAGTCGATCCTTTTCCTAGTTACATGAGGAAAAAAACCAGGTTCAGAGAGGTCTACTAACTTACTCAAGGTCACACAGTTAATATCCTACACAACCAAGCAGCACTAAACCCAGCTTATCTACCTCAGAAGCCCAAATACCAGACCGCGGCGTCAGGGGTTCAAAGGCCCCGGTGGGCGTGAGGCAGAGCCCTTCACATCTCTGACGGAGATTGCTGGTCTCCATTTTGAGATTCGTGCAGCGCCCTTCTCTTGCAGTCTACTTCACACCACAGTGAATGCAAATTAAAATATGAATATTGATATCAAAACAATATCCAAAGTTGGAATTTCTGTGATTGAGGCTGCAGAGTATTTTAATGTGCTGGAGACAGGGAGCTGACAGTTGTGTGATAAGGTGTGAAAATGTCTGTTCTACGAGAGTCTACCTAGGTCTCCCTGCCCCACACACGCTTACTCCCTTCAATACACTCGGAAATGTTTGGCCAGAGACTCAAGGCTTCGCTGACCTAACTGTGAATTTGCTCCTCTCCGTCACAAACTCTTACATCGACAAGCTCAATTTATCTTTCCAGGATCAAAGATTTAGAAACTTTCAAAAGGGCTGTGAAATGGGCCCATCTGATTCAATCATTCTGATACTGAAGAAAAAAAAGATCGTTTTTCAGGGGTTTCCCAATGGACGAAAAAATGACATCCTTATGTGAGTATCTTAATGTTCCCTGCAGGTGAGAAGGAGCACGTGTGCGCCCATTGTCTTTCAAACAGGGCTCGCTGATGCCAGCCTCGCACTGTGTGGCCAGAGAATGTGGTGTGCTGACAGTCAGGAGCCCAGCCATGCGGCATTCTCCTGCACACCAGGTCTGACGGGGAGACGCTCTGGAGGAAAGCACCACATCCTTCCTTTAGAGAGCAGCAGCTGGGTAGCATCTTGGCCGTTTCTTCTTCTTCCTAATTTTGAGCAACTCAGACTTCAAAGGAGGCCAAGCTACAGAAGAACTTGACCACCTTGCTGCATTTATCTAGAGAAATATGTCATCCATCCTTCTTTTTTTGTTGTTGGGCTGAAGCAGAGCAGGTATGGAATAAAGCCACACTATAGTATCTATTAACAATTATTTGCCAATGGTCACACAGATACCCTGAAAGCTCCTCTTTCAGATGCTTTGAAAATCTGCAGCACAAATGAACAAGGGATGGAAAAGGGGCCCTGCTCAGTCATATTAGAGATGGACCCTCCACGCACCATGGTGACCTCTCCGCAGGTCGGCCCCACATTTTCTATTTGCAATTCAAACCCAAGGCGAGAGCGCAGAGGGCAAGATTGGGTTCTTGATTATATCTGCGAGGTCACCATCACTATGCAGAGTTAGAGGAGGCCAGGTGGCAGCCCAGTACATTTGAAAATTGGATCTTTGTTGGGAACTGCCTCAATTTCATAGCAGAAACCAAACTTGAGATGTCTGCATTAGACACATCTGGGGAGCCACACAGATATGTTGCCATGTGAAGGGGAGGGGGCAGAGGAGAGGGGAACAAAAAAGCCAAGGAAATATTTTCTACTGCAGTGAGAGAGGTCAGATGGAGCCAAATCCTAAATTAGCTCAAGAAAGGGAACAGGAGAGCCAAGTCCTGCCTGCACTGAACAATGCTAGAGTTTCAATTACAAAATAGCTCTTCCAAGAACAACTGCAAAATATCAAGTCTATAGAAATCTGTAAGACCGAAGGGGGGAAAAGTGAAAATTGAAAAAGGTGCACTAATAGATCTGTCAACAGTCCGATGGTGACAAGCCACATTTCTATAAAATGCCTTCACCATTTGTGTCACCTGAAATGTACTGACACTTTCTATAGAACATTATCTCCTGAAGCTGTTCTTGAAAAGACTGGCAGGGGGAAGAGGAGAAGGGGAGGGGGAAAAAAAACCCGCTTTAGATACTATCAAGGAAAGGAAGGGGAGGTGGTGTGGAAGGAGGGTGATCTAGATTGTTTAAGTAACCTTTGAACCACAACAGCAAAAAACTGGGGCTTAACTAGTTATTTGCAGAAATGTTACGTATCAGAAAAAGGGGATTTTCGTCAGGCCCGAGGCTTCCACGTACCGGGAGGGAGGCGATGGCCTGCAGAGAGCAGATCCGACCAATGAGGAGCATCTGTCCTCTGCCTGAGGAGGGACCCCTTTCTTTACCTGCTTCAAGGAGTATTCTAATACCAGCTGAGCCTACGATCAGGTCATCGAGGAGGGAAAATTTGGTGAGAGAAATACCCCCTCCCTGCCATTCTGTATTTTATCCAACTCAGTTCCATGTGACTGGGATAGGAGATAAAAAAGTATGGATCAGACTTAACATCCAAGGAAAGAATTCCACTTCTCAGCCTCTGGCAGGGCACAACAAACCACAGTTTGGGTCTACCTGGACTTACAGGACAGGATTTTTATTTCGGGACTTGAATCTCAGCTGTTAGAAATTCACTCTCAGCTGAAACTAGGAATTTAAATGCTTAGTCATAAGAAATTATTTTGCAATTAAAAGAAAGGAATCAATTCCTTGGACCATTTCAAGTTAATTAGAGGTCCTTTCTGACTTCATAAAATTAAAACTGCTTTCAAATTTTAAAAAACTGCCGAGATAGACAAAGGCCCTTGTTAGAGTTGCACATTTTGGGGGTGTGGGATAATGAAGTAAATGCTCCCAAACATGTTTTGGAAAGCAAACACTTGTCTCAGGAGGGCAGCATGAAACGCTGTCGTGGTAAGGGCATGGACACCGGAAATGGATGGGTCTGGAACCCGATCCACGCTCCACAGGCTCCAACAGTGTGACCTTGGGCAAATTCCTTCACCTCTGAATCACAGTCTAGGCTCTCTACACATGAAATGGGAATCATACCCTCCCTCAGCATTGTTCTAAGGCTTAAATGTGAAAGCTCCCAGCCTGGACCATCCTCAGTAAGTGGTTATCGAAGAGTGGTAACTGATAATGATGACATTCGTCATCACGTAAAAATGCCCTCTGATGTATTAACCTCCATGTACGAGGCTAGAGAATCAGGCAGGGGACTCTTGGCCAGCATGGAGCCTGTAGGATTTCGTACCATTTTACTGACAGTCCAGGAAGACAAATCAGAGTCCTGTTGCCCGAGTCTCAAACAGAAACTGCTGGGCTCCTCTTGGTTAGGCCAGCACTGTGAGGAGAGCCCGCGGCGTCCTCCTGAAACCCACCCTTTGTGCGTCCTGTATCTGCGTGGTGGCCACGTGCATGCCCGAACCCTGGAGGTCATTTCCCTGGAGATACTTCTTGATTTTGGTTACCAGCCGCCCCGGGGCAGAGGTCAGCTGTGGGAAGGACAGGTGCCCAGAGGGGGAGGCTGAGCCAATTTCTAAGAGCCCTGTGAACCCCAGGCCCAGTGGGGTGGGCAAGGGGCAGAATGATAGTGGTAACTCTGAACTTGCTTGCCTTTGTGGGTTTAAGCCAGTCTTAATGTTATTTGAAGACAGTTTTTTGTCTGTGAATATTTATAACAGTGTGAAAACTCCCGGACAGCTGGTAATGCATTTTGAAGTGTGCTAACAACACTGTATCAAACAGCCCTCTATTGATCACATCATACTTTTTTGTGGCCACGCATTTCATACACGGTGCTTATACATTTTGAATAAGAACTTCAAGTACCTTTTGCTTCAAGCGGTTTTTCACCTCTTTTATTCCCATTTTTGCATGATCTTTTGCCTGCATGAAAAATTAATTTAAGTTAAGATTCCCTCTCTGTTTCCAGCAGGGACTATGCATGATTTCAATCCGTCGCGAATCACCTTCTCTGATTACTAGAAAAAAGAAGGAAAAATGGGATCATCAAGTCGAAAACAAATACAATGTTAAGAGATTAAAAAAATCCCTTAAAGAGGCGACAGATTTTATTTTCTGCATTTTGATGGCCCTGAGTTTTTTTTTTTTTTTTCTCTCCCCCCTTCAGAAGGCCTTCTTCTCCTCTCTGTAATTATTTATCTCAGCAGCCTGGGGACAGCCACCAGTAAGTGCAGACGGAACAGCAGTTTTTGAGGCTGCAAAAATCTGAATATCTGTTACATTTCACCGGGGCAGGGCCTCAGGACCAATTTTCTGCCGGGGCTGACTGGCCTGAGCAGACACTTTGCTGGGTTCCCCTGGTGTCGTTTCTTAAATCTCATTTCGCCACACACCCTGGCTTTTATTTTCCGTCATTTTAGACCTGTGTGGTTCTGTTGGCAGCCACCCGCCCGGTTAAAATAACTACAACTTAAGCACAGAAAGGACTAACAAAATTAAAAATGGAAATAAAACAAAACCACCCAAGTGGCTCACAGTCAAATTAGCAAGCAAAAGAAACCAGGAGGAAAAAAAAAATACTTGAGGCTTGTAAGAGATGGAACATCGGATCGGGAGCGGCCGTGTTCTCCTATTTTCTCTCTGCTGTGGGCATGAGTCTCACAAACAATGCATGTCCTATAGGGTAGTGGCGAAGGAGATGATGAAGAATTTGGGACGATAGTTAGGGAGTGTGTCCCACCATGAACACTTTTCAGTAACCAGCAAAGGAGCTGCTTCATTTTGACATGATAGTGGGGTCCCCGTAGGAAAGGTTTTACCAGAACGCCCGGTTGACCATGCCTCTGGCTCTCAGGGACACAAGCACAGACCAGCCAGCATTTTAGCCACCTGGTCTACATTTTATTAAAAGCTAAAACCCGTGGCTTCCCATGTCTTGACTGCAGCAACTGTGAGCAGAAACAGTTTAACATGAAAAACATCACTGACCTGGTCACCAAATAATCAACACTAAGTAATTCTAAGAGCCGTGGAAGCTTTAGGAAAGAGCACAGCAGCCCCTGAATCCTCTCTGCAGTATACAGCCAGCTAGGTTGAAGAGTTTCATCATGCCGAGGGACAGATCTGTTCGGATCCTGAGACCAAGACCAGTACTCACAAATTTATAGACAGTCTTCATAGCCGGGTTCGCTTTCGTTTTTACAGTGTTCAGAATTGCTCCGCTTCCTTTCTGTAATAGAAATCAATTAGCAATAGGGACTCAAGACAGAGTGGGCCAACACCAACAAAAACCTCTCCTCTTTAAACAAGTTAAGCAACATTCCAAGAGTGTGTAATTTAATTAGGGAAACAGGCCTAGATGGTAACCGGTCCCGGGCAATTAGTTATGGCCGTGGCAGGATCGCAATGGGTGGGTACTGGGAGAGCGGGGTGAGAACGAAGATAGTGATAACTAGCTGCAGGGGGACTCGATGTTTTGCTTGGCACCTCTCCTCTGGCTAGAAGAAAAGCTCTTCGCAGGCTCTCTGAGGCAAGGTTTCCCCACAGTAATCTGTGGCTTCTCAAGAAATTCTAGTTTATTTAGCTACCCTCAGTCACGTGCCTTCCTTTCCTCACCTTGGTTTTCTGTGTTGTTATTTTTAATCACTCTGGTAGGCTGCCTTCCTTAACATTGATATCTTGAGGGAAGGAAAGAATGAGTAGCTATCAACGTGAATCATGGCTTTCGTACAAATCCAACATACCAATTTCTTGGTTCAGTTTCTTTGGGAGAACAGAGGAGAGGAGGAGGAGGAGGAGGAATGGTTTTCCCAGGACACAAAGGAGGCAACGAACGGATACGCAGCGCACAGGCTCTAGATGTTTTGTGAGGGCTCACTGCGGAGACACCCTGTGTTAGCCTTGGAGGGTACTGAGTCACAGGAAGGCCAGCCTTCACCCTCAAGGGCCTCCAGGCTGGGGGGCGCCCCAGCTGCAGCCGAAGGTCGGGACAGCTGCACTGGCTGTGTGCACAAGGTGTGTGCAGAGTCAGAGAAGGCGTTAGAGGATGAAGAGTTCATGTGGGGGACAGGAAGCGTAAGGACATTCTAGGGCTGGAGAACTGCACATTAAAAAAGTGCAGACGCTGGACAGCCCTGGTGTGTTCCTAGCAAGTGGCCAGTGTATCACGGGAGGACCAGTACACGGGGCTGAGGCCAGATGGGGCCAGCTCTTGAGGGGCCAGGATATGGAGACCATACTCCAGAGGATTTTTAATCAGATGCATCAATAATCAGATCTGTGGTGGTTTGGAAAGATAATTCTACCTGATTTGAACAGAGAGAGAGACTGGATCGAGTGGGTATATAAAAGAATAAAATACAGTACTGTAATTACGGGGATTAACTCTTAGCACAATTTCTCGTAGCAGCCCGTATTAGAAATTTTGAGCTTTAATTGAAAACATTGCAGTTTGACCTAGAAAGCATTCTATGTTGTAGGACAATATGAAATCTTTACCCACTCATTTATTCCATACTGCTTTCCAAAATTACTCAGTATCCTATTTCAATGGTCCTTTGGAGTATTAAAACTCCTTTTATCAATCAATCAACAAGTCCTTATTGCTTGTCTATGATTTGCCAAGTGCAGTGTTTGGCCATACAAGAAGAACAAAAGAGGTCTTTCACTGAGGAACTGCTTACTCTTGGCCAGAGGTGTGCTCGGTCCACAAGCAGGAGAGAACACTTATCACATTATGCTGGAGTTGCCTGTTCACGTGCGCAACCCCAAGAAGACAGGGAGCTCCCCCAGGGCAGGGACTGAGTCCTCCTGCTCCCACTGTATCCCCAGTATGGTGCCCGGTCCACAGGAGGCCCTCAGGATAGACACGCTGATAAACCCATGCAGAGGCAAGAATTTGACTTCTTTAGTGGTTTCTGAAGACCTAAGCACTTAGCATCCAACACAACAGGATGCTGTTCACAACAACAGCGAAGGGTGAAAAACCCCATCTTCCCAGGAGCCTTTGCCGTGGAAACCGAGCAGCAAGAGGGGCACATTTTTGGTTTTCCTATGAAAACGTCCCAATCGCACTGGTCTAGAAGGAGACCCCCAGAAATGCTCTAGGATAACCGTATCTACTCAACATGCCTTGGCCAGCTTCCTGAGACAAGGAGGCTTCTCCTGGCTCTCCTTAGCCTCACTGAGGGCTGCTCTGGACAGTCTCATCGTACAAGCCTCCCCCTGGCACTAGATGGCCTGGCTTTACAAGCAGAAGCATCTTCAGCTGAAAGAGTGGAGGGCCCCGGGGCTGAATGACCACCTTGCGGGTGGCAGGGGAAGTGGGGGGCTGCCAGGAGGCTCCGGAGGGGGGGGCTCTGTGGGGGCGCACACTTACCCGGACTGTGGAGAGCCACTGATGGTAGAGTTTATCGCTGCCTGGGGAAAGAGGAGTCAGAGAAGTGGTTGAAGTTATGTGCTCTCAGGAGTTCCTCAAATTGCTTAGCAAGCAGGACTTGGAAAGTTCAAAATCTGGAGAAACACACTGAGGCTCCCATGCTTCACTCCCCACAGGAGGCAAGAGTGAGTTGCTGCCACAAGTTTTCTTTTTCAAACAGAGATCCGATCCTATCAGTGCCCTCAGTACCAACTCAAATCCTCCTTCCTTGTTGCCTACTGCATAGAGGTGGGGACAGACTCCTTAGCACGCCTGTCTTCTCCAGTCTTGTCTTGGTTCCACCCACCCTCGGCCTTTCCATCCTGTACGTCCATCCCCTCCGCCCTCCATTCCCTCACAAACGCTGTTCCCCTGGCTGGCCACCATTCCTTACTCTCTCTGCTGAGGATACTCAACCAACGGCTCCCACGTCATTTCCTCTGAACCCTTCCTCTGAACAGTCCGCTAAAATAGCTAATTCCCACTCCAAAGTCCACAGTCTCTGCAGTTCTGTGAGCCACTGCAGGGCAGGCACCTCAGGGCTGCGTGTGCCCACACTGCCGGACACACGCTCAGCCCCAAGACACTTGAGTAGTGATAGGGAAAGAAAAGGGAGGTGTTGTTGGGGGACTTGTTCATTTTTTCTGGTGGGATAAGGAGGTCTTATCACTGGACAGCTTTTCTAGAAGCTCTGAATGACGTGACTTCGTTGAACAACACATAAAGCCCGTCTTCTCCTCAGAACTCATATTCATCTCTGAGAGTGCTGCCTCCTTTGTGAAGCCCTCACGTTACAGAGTGAGGATTAGTGGAGTCCTATTCTGACTGCATAAAAGCCCATTTCTGCTCCTTTTTCTGCACTGGTTTAACCTGTATTTGTCTTTAGTTATGCAACTCTTTCACCTATCAGTAAAAGCTCCTCCATGAGGGCAAAACCCGGTCCTCTGTTCCTTACTCTCTGGGGCTCTGGACATGGCGGGCGTTCAGGAAATGCCCATCACTGACTCGCTGTCACTGTTCGCAGACTGGTTTTATTGGTGCTTGTGCTCTCCGTGCAGCACAGGCTGCTCAGGCCTGTGAACGGGGCTTTGCAGGGGACATTATGCCTGACTCTCTGAATTTATGGATCACCAGTTATATCATAGAAGCTTAGTCCAGACCAGGCACATGCCCAGCAATAAGAGGGGGCCGACAGCAGGATTATTATTACTTTGCATTTGGTTCTGTCTTCGCTGCCACAGACTAAGGCTTCGGGATTTGGCAAGAAGCCCAGACTGGGATTCAGGAGGCAGGGTCCACTACGAACACCTCTCTCGGCCTCAGAGGCCGCCTCTGAATCATGAGGATGATCCCTCCAGGTCTAACGGTCTGTGGAGACTGGGCACTCTGTGATGATTTTCACCTTTTAAAGAAACACTCGTTCAGCAGTGACCCCGTGCCCGCATCTGTCCTCACAGACTCCGAGTCAATCTCCACAGGACTCCCGTGAGGCGGACACCGTTCTCCCCAGTGCAGAGACGGGGGCACGTCAGCTGAAGAGGTGCCATGGCCTGACCAAGCTCTCATGGCTTCCCTGGAGGCGGGGCCCTGATGTGAAGCCAGCTCTCCTAACTCAGCGTCTCGTCTCGAGTGCTTTGTGTCACAGCATCCTGGCCACTACGTTTCACTAGACTCTGGCCGCCCAGGGCAAGCGACTGACCCCAGGACAGAGGATCTCAGACATTTCAAGGCTGGGGGTGAAGTGAGTCTCTCCCCAACCCTCACTGAAGGAAAAAAGAAGCCACTGCCACTCCCTGCCACGCACACCCTAGTCCCACATAGCAGCCCACGGCACAGAAGGGAAAACGAACTGCTTCTCACCAGCATACTCGCCCATGCTGATCTCCTCTTCAAAAACGTCACTGAAACCTTTGCCAGAATTGAGAAGGTCCAGTCTACCATCTATAAACTATATAAAGAAAGAACAAAAACATAACAGCTTAGGCAAAGAAACAGGGGGGAAAACCATTCAGCTGGGCACCTCAGTGCACGACCAAAGAACCACCATGCTTCCCAAGACAGAAAAGGGCCTTTGGAAGAGTGAGTTAAACAAACAAACAAACAAACAAGTTTTTAAAACACTGGCTCTGCGTTTATGATAACCTGTGCCAATGAATGGCCTATTTGTGGAGGGTTGGCCTGGTTACTGACCACCCTCTGCACCCATCCCCCTCCCCAGACCCTCAGCCCCCTCCAGCTGGGCCTGGGTCCCAGCATGCCCGCAGCCTCAGGGCTTACAGCAGGACAGCTGCAGAAATCCCCATCGGGGGTTCAGATGGGCCACCCTCCACGGGGAGGGCTGGGTACCTGTTTGAAGAGCTGCAGCTGGGTGGCATTCTGCAGGAACTGCCTCATGGCTCCCGAGCGATAGTGGGACACGAAGGCTTCTTCACAGAAGGTGATTGGCTCCTCCTGGGAAACGGAGATGGGAAAGGAGGGTTGGAGGAGCAGGTGAGGGTGGCGGTCAGTTCTTAAACTCGGTTAGATGGCACTTCTACAGCTAATTTATTTAATCCTCATTTACTTGGTAAAGTGGCTACTGTCATCAAAGGAGTTCTGTTCTATGGAAGAGGAGGCAGTTTCAGAGAGGAAAAGTCATCCCCCAAAGTCCCAGAGCTGGGGGGCGCCTGGGTGGCTCAGTCGTTAAGCGTCTGCCTTCGGCTCAGATCATGATCCCAGAGTCCTGGGATCGAGCCCCGCATCGGGCTCCCTGCTCCGCAGGAAGCCTGCTTCTCCCTCTCCCACTCCCCCTGCCTGTGTTCCTGCTCTCGTTATCTCTCTCTGACAAATAAATAAAATCTTAAAAAAAAAAAAAAAAAAAAGTCCCAGAGCTGGTAGGAGGCCGAGATTCCGAACCCTACCCCTGGCCCCTTCCTCAGGAGCCAGTCATATCCCAACAGCAAGTTAGTGGGATGTGCCCTCCAATGTGATAGCTTCCAGACTTTTCTTTTCACTTTGAAGAGAATCCAAGTAGCACCTTATGCACAAGGAGCCCTGCTACATAAAATTGCCCAGCGGCTCTTCGGGAAGCGGGGGGTGCGGCGGTGTTTGGGGGGGGGCAGGGGTGGTGGCTGAGCTATCTCCTCCAACACCCCAGCACCTTTGCAGTCCCCGAGGCACCGGCCGTGGAACACAGTTTGAAAACCATTTACACAGTGATCTCGATCAATAGCAAATTATCATTTTAAAGTAATTATTTATATTAAAAAGCAGGGCTAATCAAAAATAAGATTTACCATCCAGTCAACTCTGTGCTTATGCAGTTTGATGAGGAGGCATGCTTTTACCAAACTATGTTTTATGAGTGAAGAAAACAACAGCCGAAGCTGAAGACACATCCCATCCTTGTAGTCAACACCTCGATCCTTCTTTGAAGGGATTTGGAGTGCTCATCTCCTCAGACAAGTCTTTAATTTCGGTGGTATATCCTCAATTCTGAAAGATCAGACTTTTACACCTTGAACTGAATTAAAGGTACCCCTCCCTTCACAGACTTGGTGACAGATACAGAGATGTTTGAAGCTGCGCTTTTATCCTGTTTTAATGAGTTACGTGAGTGTTAAATTCACTGTCTGGCTGCTGTGAATTCCAAGGGTTCCTCTTGCTTAAATCTGGCCAATATTAGCTCAGCAATGGGGCAAACATTGCACAAAAGGTGCAAGGATGACCCCAAAAATTAGGGTGGGGGAGGGCTTGTTTTTATACAGGTAAGCCCCACCTAATTTTACAAAGGATCTGAGGCAGCCTACGCGAGCACCCATAAGAAAGAAAAAAAATCAGAGCTGAAGAATACGTAAATATATAAAATGTGTTTACTTGGGAAAAGAGTATCTGGATATGCAGATCCTACATGGTTTCCAAAACAAAGTCTCAAAATTAGCTCTGAGCTTCCTGGCTTCGAAAACAAGAAGGGAAACATGCAAACTTTACATTGTCTGTGAGAACAAAAAGCAGAACTGGTTCCTCAGGAAAAAGAACTTTTCATGACATTGACTATTTTGCCATGGATTTACATCTTTGTTGCTGAATAGGGAGATGGGCTAGTAATAAAGCCCACCGAGCATCCCACCCTTATGGCCTGCAAGTTCTGCTTCCATACTGGGAAGCACAGCAGGGCGATTACGTCCCTCTCCAGGCCATCTCATCCATGAGTAGTGTCACCTATGCACTGATGACCTGTGATAAAATTGTAGCTCAGGCCTCCTTTGCTCCAAAACCGTATGTCTCAACCCCCGCCTGGATGGCCCATTAGCACCTCAAACTCAAATGGCCCAAACTCCCAATTATTAGCCCACCTGGACTGTACCCCACATCTGTTTCTTTCTTAAGCTGGCATTATCATAGCTCCCCATGGACCTATCACACTGCCCAAGTCCTCCTTGCTTTGCCAGTGAAAGGAATCAGGGTTGTCCCTGCTCACCATCCCACTGCCCACCATGGTGGAGATTTCTAAAATGCACATTGGATCATGCTACTCTCCTACCCGCGAACTTTGACTGCAGAGGCATTATGCTGGGTGGTTATTCGATTAATGTTCACTTCTTCCACTAGAATAGAAGCTTCATGCAGGCATGCATGGCACCTGTTCCACTCAGCACCGTACACCTAGCAGGGTGTGACACGTACACAGGGTCCTGTGTTGGAGAAGAGAGGAAAAGTCCTAGCTCCCTAGCTGGGCAAACAAACCCTTCCTAAGCTGAGCCCAGCTTGCCTTTCCAGAGTCCTTTTGTGTCCCTTTTCCTCTGCTCCCCCAGGTACCTTCTGCTCCAAAGACATCTCCTGATCATATGCCATGTCCTTTCCCACTTGCTTCCCTTTTTCTAGTTCTGTTCCTTGTACCTGGACTATCCTCATTTTTTCTTTCTTCCTTCCTTCCTTTTTTCTTTTTCTTTCTTTCTTTCTTTTTCTTTCTTTCTTTCTTTCAACATTTTATGTATTTATTTGAGAGAGAGAGAGCGTGGGAGCACACAAGCAGGGGGGAGGGGCAGATTGAGGGGGAGAGAGAGAATCTCAAGCAGAGTCCCTGCTGAGGGTAGAGCCCAATGCGGGACTTGATCCCAGGACCTTGAGATCATGACCTGAGCCAAAGGCAGACACTTAACCGACTGAGCCAGCCAGGTGCCCCTAGGCCTCTGTGTGGTAGTCATTCATTCTTGCTCAGTGCTCCCACTCTCCCTGGGGTACCCCTGGGTGCTGAGTAATCTTCACCGGTGTCCCCTGTGACCAGGAGCTCAAGAGGGCAGAGGCCCTGCCAGACTCCCCGCTACACTGCCCAGGGCCAGTGCAGAGCCCAGTGGTCTCACTGGGGCTGAGATACCACTTGACCTGATAGTAAAGAGGTCTCTGAGCACGATGCCAGGTGAGTGACACCTGTGTCCAGGGAGTTTAGAGCTCCTTGGAGGAAATGCTCCTTGGAGTCGTTAGCATTCACTCCTAGAGCTGTAGCCCAGCCCTGCCAGGAAGTAGTCTGCTGAGGGACCAATAAATTCGAGAGAGTTTGCAACCAGATTTTATATAAGGGTAGCCTGAGGCAGGATTTAGCTGTAGGAGAGCAGAAAGAATCTCAGCTTTGGGGAAACATGAACATTTTGGGCCCGTTGTCTACTTACTGGAGGTGACATCCCCCCGGGTCAGATATCCGTGCAGACAAAACGGTCCAAAGGACACGGGCACGGGATGGAAAGGTGGAGAATGTGACATTGGGGGCTTTTTCTGCAAAAACCTTCAAGAACAACATCAGCAGTGTTGGTCAGACATGGGAATGAAGACTGCCATGGAGTGTAGCGCTCCTGGAGTGGGGTGGGTGGCCAAGTGTCCACAGGAGACAGGAGAGGAAGGGGCTAACCTGCCTGGGGCAGCAGGTCAGAAATCGTGAGAGTAAGTGGATAGATTTCAGCAGAGTCTAAGGAGGAGAATAGGAGTTAGGTAAGCAAATCCCATCGGTTCAGGGCAACTGTTTTATCCTAATCCTGGTGAAAAACAGGGACATTGCCACCCACTGTCATGTATGAAGGTCTGACTGGCCACAGGCTAGGAGGGCTCATTCCCCTGAAGCTACTCACTTTCTAAGGAAATGACAACAACCACAGTTCACCAAATCTATACAGAACAACAGGTAGCGTCACTTGCCCAAAGTGACAAGACCCATAGCTGGCAGAGTCAGGATTTTATACGCCACCGCCTCCCAAGCCCAGCCATCATGCATGTGGTCCATCTCCAGCCCAGGGCTTCTCTTGAGGCCTCAGTTCTGTTTGTCCTTGAACACCTGCAAGAGGACAGGTGAGTTCTTGCAGGTGGGAACCCTTCAGGTTCTCCTGGTAGATGGATACTCAAAGCACCAGTGCCTCAGAGAAGAACGCTCCGGGGAGTAAGCAAACCACTGTGAAGGCTCCTTCTGCCACAGGACCATCCATATCAAAGATGCTGAACCATTTGCCCCAGCTACTCTGTTCCCCATCCTGTAATCGAAATGGCCACCCCACTCCACTCTCTGCAGCGGAGAGGAGCAAGGCAAGGTGTATTCTTAAACCCTTCTTTGTTAAGAACTGCCGATTTAGTTCTCCTGTTATGCTGATTAAATCTTTTGTCTTCTTAGGCGACACTCAGCAATGGGACTACTGGCTGACAGCTCCGGGAATGCAGGCAAGTCAGGCCGTGAGCATTCAAGCTTAGATCACATTAGTAGAGTTTTCCATCTATGACCCAGAGGACAGTTAAACACAGCTGCTTAACCCTATCAAGGATTTTGTTACAGACAAGTTTTACTCTCGGATTATCTTCTTGACATATGGAATCAACTGAAAATTCCATTACTAATGAATCCATCTTTGTTAACAGGTAAAGTTAGTGATTCCAAACGTTTTTGATACTTCCAGAAATAAACGGCTTTTATCCACAGCACTGTGGGTACTGGCATAAAAATAAAATCTCCTCTCAGAGTCTTCTGAGGGGACAACTTTCTTTGTTCTGCTGATCCATCCTTATAGTACTAAACTCTTATTTTCCTTCACAAATTTATCAAAATTTTATGTGCACATTTATTCTGCGATTCTAAGGGGAAAAAAAAGGTGTTCATTCTTTATGGCCCTTGCTTCAAATTTTAAAAACAATAGTTTTGGAAGCTTCATCCATTCACACATTTTAAAAACACCTAGTATGTGCCAGACTCTGCGTTAGAGGAATACAAAGATGAATAAAATGCAGTTCCTGTAAGTAATACGATTGAAGGTGGGAAGGAGACCAAGGTATGGATACAAGAATGGCAGAATGTTATGTTTACAGCAGCATTCCTCACCGGGGCCAGAAGATGGAAGCAATGCAAGCATCTACAGATGAATGGATAAACAAAATATACATACAATGAAATATTATTCAGCTTTCAAAGGGAGAGAATTTCTGGCACATGCTACAAC